GCTGAGGGTGCAGATTACGATGATGATGTTAATGCGCTGAATAACTTTTTCGCGTCAGGTGCTGGTCCTGATGTAGTTGGATTGTTTGATGTTGATCACTTTGAAGATGTTAGTAATTCGTACTCATTTGAGTGTGTAGGTAGAGAGGATGTTGCAATTGCTTTAGGTAAAATTGAGTCTAAGTCTGTTGGCGTGGATGAAATACCACTTGAGTTTTTAAAGATTTTGTTTCCTCATATTTCTTACTTGATCTTGGACTTGTTTAACTCGATTATAACTACATCAGTTTTTCCTATAGCATGGAAGACAGCGCGTGTTGTTCCTATCCCGAAAACTTCTGCTATACGTTCCTTTGATGATATGCGGCCCATATCAATTTTACCTGTCTTATCCAAGGTATTTGAACATATATTAAAGAATCAAATTCTGTCTTTTACCAGGAATAAAATCTTTGAATCACAATATGCTTTCCGTGCTGGTCATAGTAGCACATCTTTGCTGTTGCATCTCACCGAGTCTATCAGAGGCAACATGAATAAAAATTATGAGAGCATCTTGATTTCCTTGGATCTGTCTAAAGCGTTTAATTCTATATGTTATGCTACTATGATACGTAAACTCAGGAATGGCTTTAATTTTTCCTATACAGCGTGTAAACTGATTATGGATTATATGAATCATAGGTTTCAATTCGTTGAATTGAATGGTATAAGATCTAGGGTTGCACGCCTGACTTCTGGTGTACCACAGGGCTCTGTTTTAGGACCACTCTTATTTATACTTTATATTAATGATTTCTCTGCGTGTTTGAATACAAACTCCTGTGATGCATTTGTATTTGCTGATGATATTTTCTTATTGTTTAGTGCTGATAAGGGATGTGAGACTATTTTAGAAAATAATATAAATGTGTGTCTTAATTCAATACTCCAATGGACAAGCAGCAATTCTTTGACGATAAATCCTTTAAAAACAAAAGCAATTCGATTTACTTCTAATGAGATGGTAATAAATATTTTTATTGGACAAACTATGGTACAATTTTTAGATCAGCATAAGTGCTTGGGAGTCATTATTGATAGAAGGCTTAATTTTGGACCTCATATTGACTCTGTTCATGCTAGAGTTTATGGAATTTTGCGTAGACTTTACTCAACTTGTTTCTATTTTCCAAAATGGATTAAGTTCAGAATTGCTTATGCGCTATTAATGCCGTTGGTTTCATACGCCTTAGAAGTCATATCTGGAACTGTCTATTACAATGTTCTTAAATTGAAATGCATTGTTAACTCTATTATCCGATATGTCTATAATATTCGCCGGCGTGATCATGTTTCCCCATTTGTTAAGCAGTTTCTGGGATTGCCTTTCGAACGATATATTGACCTTCGCAATTTGCTTTTTTTTTACAAAATTATTAAAACTGGTATACCCTTGCCTCTGTGCGATATGTTTAAATTTACCCGTTCCACTAGAAATACCCAGATTGTTTTACCAAGGATTTTTAACTCTCAATTTGAGAAGTCTTTTATAATTCGCGTTGCAAGATGCTGGAACTTCCTACCTGTTGACCTGCGCATTTTTTCGCATTCTAATAATGTGATTCGTTTAAAGTTATGTAACCATTTAACTACTACTGAATTGTAACTTTGCATAATCTTACCTTTGCCTTACAATTTTCCATTTTTCACTTGATGTTTCTTCGATTTATTCGCCTATTCTATAATTCTGTATTTAATCTTTAAGTATTTGCGGCTGGGGAGCCAACAAATTTAAATTTAAATTTAAACTCAAATTTAAACAAAAAAGATAGAGTAAGATAAAGTATTTTATAGTAATGTGTGATAAAATAAATATTTGTATTTGTATAATTAAGATTTTTTCTATTTGGTAATATTACATTGTAATGCTATTTTTGGCCTAAAAAGGCTTCTGTGTTACGAAATCTTGAATAAATAAATAAATAAATAAAAAATCTTTGGGGGAAAAACAATCATTTCTTCTATTCATATTAGTGAGAATTTCATGTATTTTCGTATAAATTCCCATTAAAATCAACAAACAAAATTTTTGAAAAAAGGAATTATTTTACTATGAATTACGAATCGTGCCGTATGAACGGGTTAATTCGTGTACATAATTCTGAGAGCGAACAACGTTGTTCGGTTTCCAATGGAAACATGCTATATGGAAATAAATATTTTTAAAGAAAATTGATTCTAATATAAGTATTAGTATAAGTATTCTAGTATAAGTAAGTAAAAACAAAATAAAATAAAATATATTTGCAAAATGCATATTTATTGCCTTATTTTAATTTATCATGTTGGGGTCAACGATGTTGTAAAGAGGGGCAACCTTGGAGCCCCTCTGTAATGCTCGAGAAAGGCCATTTGTGTCAATTGTTCACCCAAAAATTGGTTTCTAAAAGTATTTCTGGTTACGCCGGTGAATTGTGTTAAATCAATTGCATTTTTAATACGTTGTATTTCAACACTTTTTCAGTCTCAGTTTTGACCAAAAACATCAGACCATCTTAAACTACATTTTCATTAACTATTATCGTTATCATATTTTTTCGTTGTTGTAAAAGTTATACATGGTGTGTTTGTGTTCTGCTAATCTGGTTCTAACTCCAGGTTCAAAATTCGAATACTTTGGTCGTCTGTAAACAGAAGTCTTCTGAACTGAGTGAGGTAGGTTTGGCCGGGTAATTGAAAAGGTGCAGCGTATTGGGCGGGCCTGTATAATACGCCGGACAGACGCTGCGCACATCTAAGACAATTCGCAACCAAAATGAATTGAGACAACTGCACCATCCTGAACGCAATTGCGCCAAAACTACCTGATTCGGCTGCAATGGATAAGGTGTGGACTTATGGTTCATGATATAATTGTTGAATGGCATCTCTGACTACTTCAGTATGAATGCCTCTCAGACCTGCCTAATAGGTTTCTCGATCTAGAGGCTCTCTCTTGTAGCGTTGGCCCTCCCTCTCTAAAACAATGTTTGTCCTTCCTGAGTGGGAGTGTTTTACCTACCATATGATGGTTTGAATGACTCCCACGATGACAAGCAGATACTGCAACGAAAGCATATGGTTACAGGGTGAGATGAAAAAACTGCAACCAACTTCAGACTGCTGTCATTTGTAAGCCACTCGTCCGACAGCTGTTAAAATTATTTCATTGACAGCTCATTATATTGTTTACAAGCCTACAAAATCATTTTGGTGAGCATTTTCCAGAAAAAAAATTATTCGTGATGGAATTCAACCGTAATAGTGTGATTTCTTTATGTTTGGCTGGAAAACCATAAGTGGCTATCGTTAGAGCACTCCAGTATTTAAATGTGAATAAATTTTTGTGTCTCGTACCAACGCTCGTTAACGTGATTCTGTGGCCGAAAAATGGTTACTGAGCTGAACATATCGAAATATTCCATTCGGCAAATATTGAAAAATTACATAAAAATAACAACGGTCTTAAGCTTGGTTATTTTGCAACAGCATAAATGGTCAATTCTTGTTCTACAAAATCTGAATTGAATATTTATAAGGGCGACAAATCTCAATTTTATAAAGAAAATAATCTTTAATTTCATATTTTCATAGTACTTTTAGGGCCGCCTGACTACAGTCGTTTATCTATATATATAGACTTTTTGAGGCCAGAATGTCTACCTGGAAGTCTTTACTGCCGTTGTTCAGTTTGAAGGAGCTGCTAATTTTTGAATTTGTGGTTAAAAGTCACAAAATCAGCTTGGTTGCTGTTGCGGTCTGAGCCCAATTTATTAGTGACACTCAGTGGAGAAATTTTGCAAATATCGCAGAACAATGCACTCCGTGTTGAATAGGATGAGATGACCAGGATTCTGTCAGTCAGGCAAGATGCTGACGTATCATCCCAGCTATCACACAGTAATCGTAGATCCACCACCCTTCGTCGTTATGAAAATAGTACATCAGCAATCTCGGAAGCATTTCATTTCATTTAAAAAGCTATGAATGCAATAAAGATCTAAACCAACATCCTCCTACAATATTGGAGAGCGAGCAACAACCTAACTTTTAGCTACTCTTGTTATTGTTAACATTTCTTTTGTTATTGTACCAAAAACAAATTAATTTTTGGTAAAAAACAATGAGTAAAGTTGTTAAAAAGTTACATAATATAGGGGCTGGTTCTATTTTATCACAACTCCCGTTGGGGTATAATTCTTATCGAGAACGTATTTTGACCAGTATCATTAACATGTACCCTTCCATGTCTACAAAGCCATCACGTCACGTATTTCGCACATCAATCGTTGAGATAATCCAACAAGTCTTCGTCCTCAATGTTAATGGCAAAATCAATTGTGGTGGCGGAGTTCGATTCCATACACAGTTGTCGTCATTAGGATTTATGCAATTATTTTTTTTTGTAATTTGCGTTGTATAGCCTTCGAACCGTTGAAACTACCCGAATGACCTTTTCGATCCGATCCATTTTCTACATAGTTTTTTCGTTTTGAATTTAACGATCCACATTTTGATACTGGCAATTCTGTTTTATAAAGTTAACTTGGTCACATTGAAATTATTTTAGCGCCCTCTGTTGGGAAATTTGTCATTGTGGCATTGCCACATTGCTTTATAGCAAGTCGTTTATTTAAAAAAAAGTTTTTAAAAAATATGAGTCCATTTAAGTATACTATGCGTGTGATGCATGCCTGTGACAATAAGCAATAAAAAATATTGCACAAATAAATCTAACGTCGGCGAGATTCGTGGAATAGAATCAGCAACCTTTAGAGTGTCTTTATAATGTATACAAATCCATGAGATGAAATAAGCAAGTAATCACATTACACATGAATTTTTGTCCATGTAATGGGCGCTTAACTCTGCAAGCATGGCAAATGTTTGGCAAATGCCGGAATCCCACCTAATCTAAAGAATTTTAGTATTTTCATATTACCTTCACAATTGTTTTTTAAGAAAAATTAAAAGAAAACATACATTTAAGAAAATATATATTTAATCTCATTGTTTTATAACAATTATATTTTTATATTACATATAAACAGTATGTATCTCAGTAGTGCCAATAAAATCAGTGCCTAAAAATAACTTATATCTACGTCTATCAAATTTTCGCCTCTTGGAAGGAATGTTACCATTTGATTTTTCTCTCAGACAAAAATGAAAAGAAACACTAACACAGACTTATAATTATATAAAAAACTAATGGTAATACTAAATTATCTATTTGATCAGTACGGGCTTCTACAAGAGCCGATATAAGTGTGGCCACAACGGTAACAGACCATTGCACTACATTCAATTGCACAAATTCCATTAAATTTAAAATAGCAATGGGCAACAAGACATACAGGACAAATGCCACTGAACCCTCAACCGAACGGGAACTATCTGGAAAAGAAAAAAATAAAGCGAAACAGATTTGAAATACAGAGTCACTTTAAACATTAAAATCTTTATCTTACTTTTCCATTTGTTGCGACCATATTTCGAACCAATCACACTGGCTGCTGTATCACCAAATCCGATTGTCAGCACACCGGACAGCAAAGGTAACAGTTTCACATTCAGTCCATGTTCATTTGTCGCGCACGGACAGGGCATAATCCAAATGGGCAGGGAGCAACCAATTAACAAGCACATCGGTGTAAATGCTATAATGCCGGCATCTTTTTCATCGGCAAACGAATGAAAAGCCTTTTCCAATATCTCACCCAGGGGTGGCATTTTCAGTATTCGCAATAAATCAAATATTGTTATTAATGCCATGGCCACACCCGAAGCAATGTACAGAAAAGCACATTCATACAGCAGGCCGGGTATATAGACTAAAACCATAAAAATGTGGAAGAGTTTTCGTACACTAGTCGTTGCATGTTGAGCATTACGAAGTTGCCAGCAAACTACGGCTACGGTGGCTATAACCAGGGCCACATAAAATAATATTATGTAGAGCTAGAAGAATCAGAAAAGTGCATATTTTTTCGTGTAGTGTAGATTATTCGTGAAAAAATATGAATGTAAAAACCTACAAAAAAATTGAAGAGGTGTCGCGTATGCCTAGAATTTAACTATTTATTTTTTGTACGTTTAAAACAAACTGTCAGATTAATTCGATGTATTTTATGGCAATTAAAAATACATTACAATTTTTCTCCACCGATAAATAAACGTGTTTTTTAGAATTAAACCTAACTTTTTTGCAACAATAAAATAACTACGGTATCACAAACAGAAATGCAAATGCTGTTCTATTGTTTTTTAAGTAACAGCAAAAATGGTCCGATCCGACTGCCGAAGATTCCGATCTATTGTCGTAGTCATCAAGAGGTCTGTGCAATATAATCCTTCATCATTGTTACAAAACTTTTTGCATTTGTCAATAAAATAGTAAAGTCATGGTTAACACATTCGACCTCAATTAAATCAACATTCCAGTATCTAACACCCAGGAGAACTTACGACAATACTTGTAACTTCTATGGGAATTCGTAGTGTGGAATATAAACATTTCAAACTTACCCTCATTCGATCTTGGAAAATGAATTCAAATACAGCAATAACTGGTAGTGGTTTTGTGACCGGTGCCAAAGTCGCTGCTGCAACAAATGTCATCATAATAGGATAAAAGATAAATGGTTTACGCAGAAATTGGCAAGCCAATAGGGAGGTACACACCAATAAAAGCCAAAGTAATGCAAACTATAACAAATAAAAAAATTAAATAAAATATCTTAGAAAATTTGTTTAACCCTGCCGTACCATCATAATTGTGGACAATGTTTGCATTTCATTTGCATTTTCCTTAACCGGCTCTGTCACTATTAAATGATAACCCATAATCAGGGTATTCATAACAAATAGGAATATACCCTGCGTCAATATTGATGCTTCGCCATAGGTAAAACTTTTTGGTAAATCGCGCATTACTTGTATGTAACATCTCTGAAAGATTACATCGATGAATAAGGTCCAAACGAATGCCAACCACCAATTCATACCGAGACCAAACTTAAAAATACACGTTCCACCCACAAAGGGTATGAATACGATTAGCCATTTGTAAAGTTTGGCCTGCAGTGCCAGGTACATAAAAAAACTTATATTCTGTATACAAATTGTTAGAGCTGTTAGCGTGACTAATTTATATTGTTGTGGTATGTTGGAGCATCTTTGTGGTTCTTCGTGTAAATTTGTCCAATATGTTGCAACTAGGGACAGGGGCAAAAGGCAGCTTAACCAATATCCAGGAGAGGCACCGGGTCTAAAAAAAGAACAAATGTTTTAGTTATACTTTAGTAGTTTTGATTTTTTAAACTTTTTGTTTTGCAAAATTTTGATCTTTTGAGAGAAAAGCAGCTAAAGGAGTGGGTGTATATTAAAAATATTAATATATTAAATGTTAAAAATTAAAAAAAAATATTGCAAGGTATCATGTTTGGGCAAATCGGGTATTCCCTTCGAGATTTATCGTGGGCACACACAGACAAACGGAACTAATACAATTTTGGCGATATACCCTATGTAGTCATAAAGGTCTTTAACAGAAGACCTTATAAAGGTCTCCAAGGGAAGTACTTGTAAAAGTTGTCAGTAGAACACGTTTTAAAACTCTCCAATGGAATTTTTCTAAAAGCTCGTCAACGGAAATGGTTTTAAGATGTTAAAGGAAATATATTCAAAAAGTTTTCATTATAATAGAGTCCCTCTAAAGGTCTTCATTAGACAACTTTCTTTTAAGAACTTTCTATATAAGGCCTTCAATAGAAGACCTCTTAAAATCTTCTATAGAAGACAAAGAGTGTCTTCAGAGTGTATTTTATAGAAGATATTCTAGATTTAACAAAGTTCTTCCATGAAATATATTGATTTCCTTTAGAAAATCCAGAACCCAAGATATTCTAACGAACATCTGGGCAGTAAAATTATATATTACAGAAAAGTCCATAGAAGGGAGTTTCATTTAATATATGCACTTTTTAAGCTAGAAATAGAACTTTCATGGAAGAGTACAGAGACCATTTAAAAGTTCTTACAAACTTAGAGTACATTTTTGAAATATTCTCTGTTTCCAACGACAATTATCATATCTCGCCAATGGCCGTTATCGTACAATTAATTGTCACATTACGTATGTGGGCTATTTTAAAATTCCAAAAAACCGCCTGTGTGAACTTTGTGTCGAATTTATGATTCGTCACCATTGCTACCTTATCAGCTTATCAATAGACAGCTAATTTTGCCAGGAAATACATTTCGATTGTTCATATTTTGCGCTTTCTTGAGGCTTATAGAATTGAGACGCGTAGGACATGCCAAAAACCTATACATCTATTCAACTTAAATATCAAAGTTCAAATTGAAAACACTTTCACTTATCCTTACCTCGGTACAATATCTGTGTTCCTTTGATGGCCAACGCCACACATACGGGCGTGGACTTTTTTCAGCTGGGTATCTTCATCGCTGCTGCTGAATTCTGAACTGTAACCACTGTTGTTGTCAGTGCGGTTTCGCATTCTTGTCTTTAATTCAATTAAGGCATTCAGTCAAACAAAAGAAAGTTTATTTAAAGTTTTTAAATTACACCGTCACCAAGAAATTCACTGAAACTTGAATGGCTAGTCCAATGGATTTTGATGTTTACTGCAACAAGTTTGCAACTCGTTTCTCTGTCTCTGTATGTAGCTTTGGCTAATTATATTTGTTATTGTGCAATCCAAGTTGTTCTCTCCTTAACGAAATAAAATTCTGGGTCCACAAGCATTACAACACGAATCAAACAAGACGTTCCCAACCAAAACAAATGCTTCTTCTTCTTGGGGGTTGGCTTACAGCCAGACAACAAAGCAAGACAAATTTTTGGCGGCGGCGGCTTATCCGGTGTAAACGGCGTTGTGCTTTCTATGTACTCTGTATGCAAAAAAAAAAAAAAGATGCAACGCGCCGCAAAAGCTGTTTGTTCAAGAAATAACGAATTACGTTTACACCATGGTAGAAGAATATAGGTAGACGCGTCGATAAAGCTGCTGGGACAATGAACTGTCAAACCAATTTTGGAATTGAAAATGTTGAATGAAAAATTATATAAATTTGCAAAAATTGTTGAAAAACACGGATTATAATGACCTCCGAATGATGTCGTATAAGAAAACGTATAAAAATCTACTTATATTTGAAAAACATTTAAATTTTTTGACATATAAATGCTTCCAAGCGTTGATGCATGGCAGAAGAATACAGGTAGATGCATCAACGCTTGGGAGCATTAGGTATCTCTGCACCCGAAAAAGGTATTAGCACAAATTGTAGCGTTTTGGGAAGGTAAGAGTGTCAGAGTTTTTGGGGTTTTTATAAGAAATGCCGGTCCAAAAAAAATCAATAATTTGACTATAACTTCTGAACCGCTTAAAAATTACCCTATCATGTGGCCACTTGTCAGATAGATATATGCATTCCAATGATACTTATTTTGTCTATATCAGGTAACTGGATCCGGGTCTAGCCGGAGTCTTGAACCCGGACTTTCGGGTGAAAAATCTGGGGTCTAGAGTCCGTCCCCCAAGAAAAAAATAGTTTTCCGGAATCAGGGTAAAAATAAAAGAAAAAATCGAAAAAAAATTAAGAGTTTTTACTAAGCTATATATATCTAATTTATAGGAAATCATAGATTCCATATTCATCTCAGGATTCTGATTAAGAGACACATATTTAGATATTCGCAGATATATAGCATCTTCACAATAGATCTTGTGTTAGCAAAAACGTTTGTATGTGTGAAATTTAAAGAGAGTTGGATGCTTTTTTGAGTGTTATGTTTTTCAAAATCTTGAACCCTATGTGAAACATTGAATAACAAAAGAATTCTCTCCATCTTTATAACAGATATTGTGTTGATGAAAATATTGAGATGTACCATGTCTGGAATGGAATCGGATGTTGATGTCGCTTTTTATGAACTTCATGGATATTCAAAATTTTGAGCGTTTGTGGGGTAGGTACCAGAAGGAGTGGACCGATATATTCCGTCTTATTACAAGATCTTGGGTTCATAAAAATAGTAGGATGATTGAAATTTGAAGACAATCGGACTCTTAAATCATATTTTTTAAAAGTTATAATTCCTTATATTCATATTCGAAAAGTATACGGAGTTAAAAATATAATATCGACAAGGTCCTAAAATGTTAATTTTGTATATTAGTATGGAATGTTTCCCTTCATAATCAAAAAAAAAAAAAAACTCGGTGAGTGTACTTTAATACATATGGTAACATAGCCCTACCTTGATATCATTGTACCATGATTTTTACTACATTATTAGTTGGTAGATATTACGATATGGACCTGCGTATTTTGGCAATACGCTGAAATAAATTTGGCGAGTACCTCATACCATCGAATAGAAATTCCATACAATTAGATATTTTCTGTTTTATTGAGTATAACAAAATTTATGATTTCCTTAGGGTTTTATGCGTGTGTTTTTTAAGTTTTTGTTTTTTTTTTTAGTTTTTAATTATTTTTCATTTTTTATTGTATCTTCTAGAAATGAGTGTCTTGTGTTTATATGCATATGAAGAAGTTGAGTTGCTATTTTATGTCGTCTAATGATGTATGCGGGTGTGTATGTGGAAATTTATCATGATGTTATCTATGGATGCTTTTCGTATCCTCTATTTAATTGAATGATTGATGGCAATAAATTCGTTTGTAAAGAAAACCATGAAGATGATTTAAATGTTGCAATAACTCACAGTAGTTGTAGTAGTAATCATAATAATTATATAAATACATACATATTATTTATTCTTTTTCGTATTTTTAAAGAATTTTTTTAAAAGTATATTTTTTTACATAATTATATATTCAATAAAAATTATACATTAATTGTTTATTTTGCTGATTTGTTGTTATTTACTTTTAAGGAATGTCAGATCAGTTTTATGGAGTTCGTTTTCATTTTTTTGTTATTTTATAGACCATATATATCTACGAAGCAAATTAGTCCATTGTGTAGCTCAATCATTATTTTTATTTTGTAAAAATACAATTGCGAGTTCTTTATTTTTAATAAAAAAAATAATATATGATAAAGTCAAAAAAAATTATTTATCCAAAATATATATTAAAATGACTTTTAAAGGTGAAAAATGTGAATTTCTCTTGCGTTTTAGGGATCAAATTATCGAGGACATCAATATATGATGTTTTTGATTAGATAAACTTTGGGTATCGGTGTTCATTCATGCATGGAAAAATAATAAAAATCCATTTTTTCTCTTAGCCGCTGTTTACTGAAAAATATATCCCACATTTTTTGGGCAACTGCGGGTTTGGCCTACAAAACCCACAATGGTAGGTTCCAATTCTGACTTCAAAGACTCAATATTGTCCGGCAAAATTTTATCCATGAAATCTATGGTGGGTCCAATTGTTTTAAAAGAATAATAAAATCACGATTTGTTTACCTAATTTCAATAAAAATGTCCTGCCTTCTGGGAGCATATCTGATCCAACCAGAACCAATACTAATATATTGAATAGCTGCTTTCGGGGATTTTTTTTGTAATTACAAATTAAATAATTTCAATAAAATTGACAAGTAAAAGAACATTAAGTTCGACCGGGCCGAACTTTTTATACCCTCCACCGTTGGGTGAAGAAAATAATTTTTTATAAAAGTATGTGAATTCAAACAAAGGATTATCAAAATATCGAATATCGGTGGGTATCGTTATATGTGCGCAATAGGAAAACGTGGGCCTATGCATACAAAGGTTTGCCACCGGAGCTAGAGCCATTATAAACTATAATTACAAATTTTTAGACAAATTTGTGGAAAAATATGGCGAAAATCAATCAAATACCGAATATAGGGAGGTACCGTTATATGGGGGCTATACTCAAACGCAGACCGATATATATCATTTTCAACACCAACCATCCTAGACACAATACAAATTGTTCTGCCAAATCTCTACGTCAAATAATGTGGGCTGTATTGAGATTTCAATGTGGGCTGTATTGTGATTTCATCAGACGGTTATGGTTTGAATTCTAAGACGATTTCAAAGAATTACAGATGGTATTCTTTGCAGTTTCGAATTAAAATAGTTTAAATTATATCCGCATGGTTTTGAAGGAAATACCCTATGCCAGTCACACTGGTTTAGGCGCCCAGCCTTAAGATTACCGGTCCAACGTCAGGAATGCAAACTAAGTCACCGAATCCTTACCGTAGCAATGGTATCGGCTCCTCTATTTCGGCAACCTTCTTGGAAGTATGCAAATATATATAAAAAAGAAACAAAAACCAAACAACCAAACGTTGAAACTATGATCATCCTATAGGCCATCCTCCAAGGAAATCCCAGCCGGTTAGCTAAACTAAGGACCTTGCTATTCTTCGGAGAACAGCAATATATTACAACATATAACACAGTCAGCAAAACTATACATAGTACTGATTAAAATAAGCCGGACATCAATAAGTACAAGAGATAGTTAAAGACGGCCAAACGTAGATCTTGGACCAATTCTAGTCTATAGACTCTTGATCTCTATGAGGGTAGTTGGTTGTGAACAAACATTAACACTTTCTACATCATACAACGTACCTTTCAATCCTTTAAATCTGAGTCGGTGTTAACTATGTAGGAGGGAATTTTTAAGGCTGATCTTGGGTTGTGCTTCGTACAGTCAAGTGACAATAGTAAACAGGCAGTTACTGATCCAATACCTGTTTCTGGGGGAATTTTTATATAGATCTACGGATGGACCAAAATTTCTCCGATTGTTTCAATTTCTTAACACTTACTATAAGAATGCCACATCTATTCAGTCAACTCATAATGTAAGATAATTTGTAATAGTTATTAAGTCAAATTGTGTCGTTGAAGTCCTAGTTATATAAGGCCAAGTTTCCTCTAAAAAATACTATCGAATACAAAATGTTCTCTTTCGTTGGCCAAATTGTGTAACAGAAGACCCTTAAGTTTTGGACCAAATTATTGGTACAAAAATTTGTTCAAATTTTTGTATAAGAAGGCTGCCCACTATTAGGCGAATAATTTTTAGGACAATTTGTTCCCAAAACCCACGTTTTTTTCCTAAAAAAATATCTGAAGTAACCCATGATGTGGGTCAAATTGTGTTTGAGGAGGCCCAGGAAATTTTGGATTTTTTGTAGAAAATTTTGTTTAAGAACACCCATTAAAAATTGTTGCCAAAAAAAGTTTCGCGATTATTAAGTCAAATCTACATTAAATATATGGCGGAAATGCACAGGCATTAACATGCGGCGAATACAAAAGCATGTTATGCTAACTATGTGTCTAATTGCTCAGGAAAGCATTCCGATTGGCGTCCGAGATAGATTGATAAGGAAACAAGTTTGAATCGCAGCTATATTAATTTTAAAGAGACATCCTTCTGCCAGGACTGCAAGAGGGGGTACTGACCTATCTAGCCGTCTGTTGTAAAAAGCCACCATAGACACAAGTTAAATTAACACAGTCTGTCCTGTTTAGCTTTCCAGGAATCTTATGCCTGAGAAAGTTCGAACGGGAATGTGTCGCTTTGGAACCATCGATCTTCTAGTGAAACGAATATCAAGTGTCTTTTTTCGACGAGATCCTAGATGTAGCAACAAATTGCAAAGTTAAAATGTAATATCTCAGTGTTTTACTGAATAAGATCTAATCTTTTAAAAAAATATTATATTACTTTCGAGTCTACATTTTGGAAGACTTTGTGGTATGTTTTTTACATACAGATATTAAAAAAAATTAAAAAAAGAAATGATGAAGAACCAAAGGCGTAAATAAAAGAAGAGTTTTTTTGTTTAATTTTGTTTATATATAAATGCATTTTTTCCAATACTTTTTTATTTGATTTTTAATATAAATTTTTTCTTCTTTTTTTATAAAAATTTTTATAATTTTTATATATGTATATATTATTAATTAATAACTTTAAGTAGTTAATTATTATTATTATTTTAATTAGATGTACTTTTTTACTTATTATTTCGTTTTTTTTTTAATTGGATTGTTTTGTGTGGGGGAGTGTGTGTGTGTGTGTGAATGTGTGGGTGTGTGGTAAGTGAAAATATTCTTTTTCAAGGGAATGAGTCTAAGAAGTTTGGGGACATAGGCAAAAGGAACAAGACATGTTATATGTATGGATTAAAGAGGGACACAATATGTTGGGAGGCTTGTGGACTCTAGTAGTAATAGTAGCAAGAAACAAACTTGATTTTGTTTTCCTTCTTACTTCGTTTAACATTTTTTTCGTTTGTTTTTTTTATTATTTTCTGTTTGTTTTTTTATACAAAGAAATTAGTTTAAGCTTTGTTTTTTTTTGTTTGTTTTAATTGGATTGTGTTTTTATCTTAACTGTGTGTATGGGGGAAAAGGATGGATATCAATAAAAAATAAGTAAAATTTTATAAAAAAAATTAACAGAAATTAATAAACTTTAAAAAATAATTATAGATTTTTTCCAGGTTTAGCTTTGTTGGTTTCCTTCCAGTTATAAATTTAATTGCCCGAATCTTCACCATCCAAAGATTCATCCTGTACTGAGCTGTCATCACCGCCGCCGCCACCACCACGTTTGGAGGATGGTGTGCCGGTGAGACGACTCGAACTTAGACCCATGCCGCCGGTGCGCCTGTAAAATGAAAAAGAAACAATTAGTACGATGTGAAAGGAAATGTTGATACAAAATATGAGGGAAACATAACCATTAAAATTCATGCCGTTTTTTTTTGTATAAGGAAAACATGACTGCATATACTTGTAAGTGTTGACAAAGTTTATGGTGTTAAAAACATACAGTTTTCACACTAAAATAACTTCAGAGATGGAAAACATACACCCTATGGTGTAGGAAAAAAAGGACATTTGGGCAACGCTTCAAAAAATACAACCACTTTCAATATTTTTCTGAATAAAACATAACTATAAAATTTGTAGGTTTTAATGAAGATGGTGGAACTAAGAACTAACAAGTATTTCATTGATATAAAATTATAAAAATTATTTTTTGTATAAAATCCAATAAACTTGTAATAAGTGTTCTTAATTTTTGTCCAATAAACTGCTCTTGGAAAAAACACCAGCCGGTTTAGTGAACTATGGACCCTGCTATGCTTTGGACAACAACAAGGAGGCCAGTTAAACTAATCGCATATAAGGCTGACTTCCACAAATACGTACGAAATTGAGTTCAAGAAAGCCCAACGTTAACCTTGAATCTGCTCCTGTGAATCTATAGGGTAAGATTATAGTGCTGTCAGATTTCGTAAAATACTGTCTAGGAAACCAAAGTTAATAGAAAGTAAAACCCCTGATGATGATACATAGGCCAACTGTGGTCTGGAGACACCTGAAATTCTATAATGCAACCTCTTTCCTGGTTGTAAGGATGTAGGTGGGAGTAAGCAATCAATAATATCTTTCCTACGTCACACTGTGGAAGATGATAGGCTAATATAAAGGATTGCAATCTATCTCAAGCATTCATGGACGATCATCTCCGTTCAGCCGTTTAAGTCTCTTCTGGTTCTGATGGTATAATACCGGCAATGGTATAATACCGGGAAAGGCATCGGAGTCGGTGTGGTCTATCTTGCAGGAAACCTTTAAGGCCTGTCTCAGATTTTGCTTTGTACTCAGTCTTTGGTAAGAGGTAAAACTGATATATATTCCAAAAGCCGGGAAACCTGGCAGTTTTCCTCGATATAGAGTGGGATTTCAACAGTGTGATGCTTGATCTGATCTATAACTCTCGTTATGTCTCTGGTAATTCCTTTATCCCAATTGAATTCAATTTAAGTTCTACTGGGCAAACTTTCTGCAGAAGTACACCACAGGGAGGATTCTATTACCCCTGTTTTGGCTACTGAAGATCAGTAAAATACTAGTGAATCACGACCAATTAAGAATAAAGGTATTCGTCTATCGACTTCATCGACGTAGTTTGCTCGATGGGTTGTAGATTTCTTCCAACTATTTTAGTTATAATACAATGTGTTCTAGTACAGCTGTCTGTTTGGGTTCAGGGCAAAAGTCTGGGGGTAATTCCTGCAAAGCCTTAACTAGTAGTAGCGCAAATAAGACAATTTCGCTGCCAGTACTGGATGAGATGACAATGGAACTTCTTTCTTGGCACAATCCTGCACCAGCGTTTAAATTGGATAAATATCAAGGACTTACGAAATAAACGTCTCATTGCATTTTTGTTCATACAGGAAAGCCATAGGAAAGGACTGGGGGCTCAGATCAAAAGTCGTACATTGGATGCATTCCACAATTGTCTTACATGGGTGCCTCGTTTGGTGGGAAGCTATTGAGTCCATTAACAACAGTGCAAAAATTCGGCGTCCTTACACTGACAAACAGAGTTCGAAAAAAGCACTCCTTAATCTGCATTGAACGAGATGATCAAATGGGGAATGAATCGCTTATGAATTAGCACGAGGTGGTTTTCGGTCGATACTATGTATATATCCAATTTTCACGCGACTCAAGCTTCACATCTATCTATTAAAATCATCCCACAAGACTACCAGAAAGCCGTACTATGGAACGTGGATTTTTAAAAAGAAGAAACCAGTGACCAAGAGAAGACTAAACCAGTCATATTACGCCAGATGAATTTCTTGATATAATCCTAGGCAAGCACTTCAAAATGGCATTTGGGCAGAGATTCTTTGTGATAACCAAACACTACATAGAATTGCGCTACATAAAATTTCATCAATAGTTCAAGTCAAGGATGACTTAACGATGCTCACGGAATTGTGTCTAGAGCAATCTGGTCAAACACTTAAAAGTCGCAAACTACTTCCCTATGTTAGACGTTATAGCACGTCACTGCAACATAACAGACATGACATACAAATGGGAATACATTGACAATGAATATTAGAGGTTCAGCGAAGATGAAACGGAAACGATTGCCCAATTTATATGTCATAGCCCAAAGCTTATAAGTAAACACTAAGACTAATAGGAGAAAAATATAAACAATCTCCTCCTTCGTTATGACAAATACCAAACACATTCCTCAGCTCATCCTTCAAGAGTCTAAAATAGGTGCACCCTTGATATAAACGATGCCAATCTTACTATTTTTTGAAGACCTCCTTGGCATTTTTTCTGACCCTTTAAATAAAACCTAATACTTTAACATTTTCGAATGATACAGTATTGTGTTAGGTTAATCGACTAACAATAAATATAAACGGTCTACATATAAACGATTTGTCAAATTGACAAACCACGCATCCTTTGTTCTCTTAATAAATCTTAATCCTTGGCATGTATTCCTTGTCAAATGATAACAAGAATTTGTTTGTATTACATACTAATTGCAAAACGCCACATGAGACAATCACGTCACATCAAAATTACACCAACCTTTTCAAAAGTTGAAACTATACGTTTAATACAAAATTTGTATTTCCCTCGGTAAAGGAGGGCTACCCTGTTTACTTTGATGATTATAACAAGCTAATAAAAAGAAATTTATATTAAAAAGAAGTAAATAAATTAATAAAACAATCAAAAAACAAATCAAACAACGTGCAACAGGGGAAAAATTCAATGGGGAGCTGGGAGTAGAAACGAATCAAACAAAATTACAATTTAACAAAATAAACTAAAGTCCTTTTGATTTCTCAAAGGGCTCTGTTCAACGTGCATGAAGAGTTTGTGTAATCCTTTGGGTCGTGTATGTGTGTGTTTGGGGGGAAGGAAACATTCCAGAAACTAAACAATAAAGGGGACTTTGGAAAATAAACTCTTTGCATTTGTATGCAAATTAAAAACAATAATTAAAACTTACACGGAAAACGCAACATAAACACACTGAAGACAAATATAAGATGATGGAAAACAATAATTATTTTTTTTTGGGTGATTTAAGGAAAACTTCACAAAAAGGGAAACCGCTGGACGATGACGCTAAGACATAATTATTATTTGTTCTATTCTATTGTATACCCTCACAATTCATAATAAGAGTTGGATCCTTTTTGGGTGAATAGGCTTTAGCTTTTTCAGTCTCAGCCACTTGTATAGATCTAATGTGGAAATTAATTTCAAAATTTTTCGCACAAAATAAATATTAGCTTATAAGAATGCTGTCAAGGCAAACCTACCTTAATTTGGTTTTCAGTGAGTTAATTTCACGATTCATGGCTTCTTGACTTTCAATCATGTCCTCACATTCACGTTGATATTTGCGTTTTTGTGTCTTCTCCTTTTGCAGTTCCTCTTCGGTTTCATCCAAATTGCGTTTCAACAACTTCATGCGACTGTTAAGCTGTGGCAAAGAAAAGAATCGTAAAAAATATTGATATTCTTTCAGTTTCTTGGCAAATTTTTCCATTGTCTTACTTTATCGATTTGCTCTTTGTATTGATCGGCATGTCTTCGTTCGTCCTCAATGTTCAGGCCCAACTCCTTGATCTTCTTCTCCATCTTGCGATTGGCCTTTTGCTGTAGCAATCGTTCTTTACCCTCGTTGTCGAGCTGTTCTTCGAGGTTGGCAATCTTGGCTTCCAATGTGGCGATGGTGGCTTTGATTTTTGTTCTTTGAGCTGTTTCGATTTCGGCCAGCTTGGCTTTCAGCTCCTTGTTCTGACGTTCCAACAAGGCTCGGGCATTTTCGTTCTTTTGTGAATTGGACTTTTCGGTGGCCAATTCTGTAGACAGCTGTTCGTTCAGAAGCTGAGCTTTACGGCTGCGATCTAATAATACTTCGGAATTGGATTGTTCCTCCTCGAGTTCCTCTTCGAGGGCGGCAATGCGGGCTTCCAGACGACGCTTCTCGTCAATCATAAGGGTTCCCTTGCTGGCATTTGCAGCCATTTCTTCGGCCAACTCATCGCGTTCCGTTTCGGCTGCACGACGTGCCCTTTCCGAACTGGCCAAATCTTCGGTAAGTTGCATTACCTCTGCCTCCAAGGCCTTGACCTTACGTTCGGCTTCTTTACTGGCCGCTTGCAGTTCTTCCTTGGCCGCCTTGGCCTCCTCGGCTTCACGCAAGGCATCCTTGACCTGAACCTGCAATTTCTTGGCATGTTTGAGGGCATCTTCTTTCACCTTGTTGTGCATTTCCATGGTGGTTTCCATTTCTTTGAGATCTCCTTCCAATTTCTTTTTGGCTGCCACAGCTGCGGTCCGCTGTTTACGCTCTTCATCCAACTCGGCCTCAAGATCACGCAATTGTTTGACCAAACCACGGCGTTTCTCTTCGGCCTGTTCCTCCTTGGCCTGTAGATCACGTTCAAATTGAGAGCGCAGGGCCTGCATGTTCACCTCCAGACGAAGTTTGGCATCTTCAGTCAGTTGCAGGTCGTCTTCAAGTTCCTCATTTTGTGCTTTCAATTCCGCCAATTGGGATTCCAAGGCACGTTTAGCTTTTTCCAATTCGTGGACATTCTTATCGGCTGTACCCTGGGTATTCACCAGATCGTCGAGTTCGTTTTGGAGGGCTTTACGTTTGTTCTCCATGTCGTCGATTTTATCGTAGGCCTCATCCAGTTCACGGCTAAGGGAAAGAACCTTGGTTTCTTTTTCGCGGGCTTCTCTTTCGGCAGTATCACGTTCCTGGGCGTATTGCTCGGAAATGGCTTTTTCTTCGGCTAAGATTTTGTCGAAATTCTTTTGTTTCTTTTCCAACTCGAGCACCTGTGGACAAAGGGGAAATCATCAATAACAGTCAAATCTTAAGAATAATTGAGGAGAAAGTGTCGGTCACTTACCTTTGTGCGTTGTGCTTCCAATTCAATGGTGGCATCCTCCAATTCAGATTGAATCTTCTTTTTGCTCTTATCCAAACGGTCGTTTTGAGCTGTCAACTCCTTGACCTGTCGTTCCAGATCTTCAATGCTCTTGTTCAGGCGTTTCTTGCCCTCTTCCAATTCCTTGACAGCATCGGCATCTTCCTCGGCCTTCTTTTTAATCTCTTGCATGGTAGCCGACAACTCAGCCAGCTTGCGTTCATAGTTCTTTTTCGTTTCCTCATCTTCCTCGAGCTGTTCTTGTAGCGCCTCTTTTTCCGACTCCAGCTGACGTAATTTCGACGACAGCGAGAGCTTCTGGCGGGTTTCTTCTTCGAGCAGTTGTTGTGTTTCGGCAAGTTGCGATTCCATATTTCCGGCAGATTTAACAGCGGCAGATGCTTTCAATTCGGCCTCCTCCAATTGATTTGTTATGTACTCGGATTCCTGTTGCAGTTTTGTGCATTTCTCTTGCAATTCCGAACGAGCACGTTCCACTTCGGCCAATTTCACCTGGAAAAATAAACGATGATCTTCAGTTTCAATTTCGATTTCAATTTCAATACAAATGCTTGACATGGCTGTTCCACCGCCGCCAGACCATATTATACGGCTGAGCGGAATGCACTACCCAAGATGGTAGGGCATGAGTGACAGATGTTCTTGTTGTTGCTGTTGTGGCAGTAAACACAAAACAACAAAGCCCCTTTTAAATGGTTGACAACTACATGGTCACATACAAGTGATTCTATCAGTCAGTTACTGGTCGATCTACAGATCGATTGGTCCGTCGGCTGTTCTTACTCAGTCTGTATTCAACATTGAAGGAGATTCTGTGGTTTTTAAATTTTGGTTTGTTTGCCCCTCCCCCACTGTTCCACAATAGTTTGGTGGAATTTGATCCACATCACTGTCATGTTCTTTTCCCAACAAAGTTTTAAAATTTACCTGCAATTCAGCTATCTGAGATTCAGCTTGTTTACGACGACGATCGTTTTCTTGGCGGGAGCTATTTACACTGCGCAATTCGGTGGCCAAATCTGCATTTTCTGCTTCCAATGTGGATTTGGCTTTTTCCAGTACTGCCTTAGCTTTACGCAGATTTTCCAATTGCTCATTAATGCCGTTCAATTCTTGAACATGTTTATGCCTCATCTCAGCAATGGAGGCCTCATGGTTGACGGTCTCTTCTTCGAGGGACTTTTTGAGAGAGGCCAATTCTTGTTCACGCTTCGAACGCAATTCTTGTTGCGCTAAAAATACAAATCCATAAAACAAGCAATTAGTGGAAATTCTTCACCCACACTTAAAATCATCTCATCTTACCCGCTGTGGTGTCCAATGAATCCAATAGCTCATTTTTCAATGCCTCCAACTCTTCGCCCAAATCACGACGTATTTTCTCGGCCTTGGCACGGGCAGCCTTTTCAGCTTCCAAATCTTCTTGCAACTCGGCCAATTGGGATTCGATTTCACGCTGAGCCTTTTGAGCAGCTGCCTTGGCGGCTGATTCTTCATCGATGCGCATCAGCGTTTGGGTAAGTTCCTCTTCACGTTTACCCAACTGTACCTGCAACTCTTCCACTTGGATTCTGCGCTCGTTGAGCTGTTCCTTGAGATCGGCCATCTCGGTTTCAATCTTACGTTTGGAACGATCAGTCTCCTGTCTTTGCTGCTGATCTTTGTGCATGCGCTCTTCCAGTTCGGCGATGGTGGCCTCATGCTTCGTCTTTAGCTTGGCCAAATGCTTGGCTTTCTCCTCCTCCTCGGCCAAGGTCTGCGACAAATCGTTTGCTCGCTCTTCCAATATTTTCTTTTCTTTCAGCAACTTTTGATTTTGATCTTCGGTGAGGGCCAATTCTTCTTCGTACTTCTTAATTTTGCCGTCGAGTTGCACCTTTTCCAATTGAAGTTTTTGTCGGGCCGCTTCCTCCTCTTCCAATTGTTCCTCGAGATCTTGTATGTTGAGTTCAAGCTTCTTCTTTTCTACACCCAAGGCCAAAACACGTTCCTCTTCTTCTTCGATACGTGTTTCAAGTTCCTGCATCATATCTTCGAGTTCCTGTTTGCGAGCCATCAGCCTGGAACGCGACTCCTCCGCTTCAGCGCAAAGTTCGATTTCGGCTTGCAACTGTTCGGCCAATGAGGTCTTCTCCTCCAACGCTTGTTGGTATTTGCGCTCATACTCTTGGGTACTCTTGGCGAGTGTCTCCAATTTCTCACGCACCTGCTTGAGCTCATCTTCCTTTTGCACCAGCTTCTCCTCCTGTTTGGTGACCTCCAGCAGTGGCTTCACCTTGGTGTACAGGCGCCACCACTGCCAGTTGCGCAACTTCAGATAGGCCGCACAGTTGCGCTGGATAATGCGTATGGCATTCAACTGTTGCAGGCGTTTCTGATAGTTGCGCCGGGCCAAGAAACCGCGGCAGAACGCCTGGAAGTTGACAATCAGATCCGTGATCTTGTAGTCACGCTCTTCCTCGAGATGAGCCAAGACACCAGCGCGGAAGAAGATCTTCGACTGACCGACACGGTAGAGATTCGAGTCGAGTTCCAGAGCCTGGATCATTTTCTCGCACGCCTTCTTGCCGTCCATGAAACCCTTGGGAATGACATTGGGTGTGAGCAATTCGTAGCGTTGACGGAACTCTTGGAATGGAATACGATTGGGGAAGCCCTGGCGACAAATACGAATACCTTCGAGCACACCATTGCAACGCAATTGATCTAAGACCAGAGGAGCATCGATTTTGCCGGCGCGTTTCTCGTGATTGGGGATGATACAGCGCACAAAGTTCGGATTCGTGTTGCGCAGAGTGTCCATAAGCTTGGCCAGCTGTTCCTTGTACAGATGCGACACAGTCCGGAACATACCCTTGCGGGTACGGGCTCCGAACTGGGTGTCGGTAAGCGCCTGGTGGGCCATGCCCACAATTTCGGCATCCTTCCAGATGTTCACCACGAACGGATCTTGCGAGTTCTGCAACAGCGAGACAATGTTCTCATTCAAGGGATCCATATTCTTCATCAACCATTTGGCAGCGGAGTAGTCAACCTTGCCCGCATAATGGACAATGGCAAAGTCGGCCACACCACGGAAATCAGTCTTCATGAATTTCGGATGCATTGAATGTGCTGACACTAATTTCTCAACGAAGGTCTTATCTGTCGCCTTGGGGAACCAGCATTCTTCATCCAAGAGAGCCATAATGCCGCCTGGCTTGTCGATCAGATCGATGGTGGGCTGCAGATCCAAACCGAAGTCAATGAACTTCCATTCGATGCCCTCGCGCTGGTACTCCTCCTGTTCGAGTATGAACATGGTGTGATTGAAGAGCTGCTGCAGCTTTTCGTTGGTGTAATTGATGCACAGCTGTTCGAACGAGTTCAACTCGAAGATTTCGAAACCGGCCATATCGAGAATGCCAATGAAGGAGGCACCCTGACGTTTGGTACGATCCAGGGAGCGGTTGATGCGATTCACCAACCATTTGAACATGCGTTCGTAGCAGGCCTTGGAAATGGCCTCAACAGCGAACTCGACCTGTTCCTTGGTCTGGGCCTTGGTGACGAAGTCACGACCCACCTTAATGCGTGGCGTCAAGAATGCCCGCGTCATATCGGTGACACTCAAACCCAACAAATGGGCGATTTTCTGGGCCACCGTATTGTCGGGCAGCGTGGCCTGATCGTTGTTGCGCTCCTGACGGAATTTCATACAGCCAAACAATAGCACCGCACTCACAATACGGAATATCGAATTGAAATCTTCCGCCGTCATGCCCATAATGTTCATCGACTTGACGGTCGCCTGATATTCGGCGAAATCATCGACACCGGGCACCGGCAAATTGCCATTGGAGAGGAATGGATATGTTTTGATGTCATCCAGGATGAACTTTTCCCGCTGTTCGGGCGAGGCGCCGGCAAGTAGTTGATAGAAAATATGGAATGTTCGCTCGTCTTTGGCTTGACGAATGGCACGAGATTTTTCGAGTAGATACGTTTCGATATTGGCACCCGATATATAGCCGGACGCATCGAAATTGATGCGTATGAATTTACCCTGAAATGGGAGAGGGAGAGAAAGAAAAGATAAAAATTAGAAGGGGATTAAACAATGAGTTGAAACAATTATGAAAAGTTCGTTGAAAGCCGTAAAAATTTGGTTGGTGATAAATTCCAATTGAAAATTAAAGTCCTTGGCGAGTATATTGAAAACCCCTAAGAAAAAATTCACCATTAGTCGAACTTCTGAGTCATATTTTTTGCATGGGACCCTAAAGTACATTATGAATTTGGCATATTTTTTACCTTTACTTCTTAAGCCGGAAGATAAGTACCACAAGAAAAGATTTTTCGGTATCCAAAAGTTCTACAAAATCGAATCTGTTCTTTGGGATTCTTAATATACTAACCAAAACAAATTTCATATCCAAAACAAATTTTCCGGACCCAGTTTTGACCCAAAATTGTCACAGTTTTCAGTTTTCATGATAGTATTATTTCAAATTCTATTGTGCAGTTTCAAAAAGTTTTGCCTCGGCATTTAGAAGCTTAGAGGCATTCAATATAGAAACATAATGTGAATACTTACAAAACGTGATGAGTTATCGTTCTTCACAGTCTTGGCATTTCCAAAGGCTTCCAAAATTGGATTGGCTTGTAAAAGTTGTTGCTCCAACTCACCCTAGAGGGTATTTTGTTAAGTAATAAAGAAAAGAAAACCAATAAATTAGTATTCGATTTAAACTAAGAGAATATATTTTTGTATGGCATACTAATATATATTTATATATACTTATATTGGAAGACAGCTACAACAACAACTACAAAAAGAACAATAGATTTCTGCGAAGAAAAACAAACAAAGCAGAACTATAAAATAATGAACAAAACTAGAGCAAGAACAAACATTCAATTCTACAATTAAAGAACGTACAAAGCTAATATTATTAAACGGAATATAATTATTTACATTTTTTAGAATATTATTAAAAACAAAATACAATGAAGTTATCATTAAATGAGTCAAAGAAAAGAGACAATGTCTTCGTTTCTTTTTTTGGTTAATTTTGAAAAATTTAGTTCAAGGTTAGGTTTAAAGAGTTTTTTTTTTTCTTTGTTAAGTTTTTGAATACCTTGTAAAATACATAACGATTTCCGGCATTTTCTGTTAATTTTGCATTTTCTATTTCTTGACAATTATTTGTTAAGCATTCGTGGTCACCACCACTGGTGGTAAGGTTACCGCTGCCACCATTACCATGGACATTGCATTGAATTTTGACATTTTTCTTAACATTAACTTGTAAATTCTGAAAGCATGGGGAATGAATATTTTTGACGGGAAGAAGGCGATTTTTTCAAAATGGTGTTAGTGTTTAAAGGAGTAGAAGTAAGAAAGCCAGAGAGATAGAGAGAAAAATAGGCGAAATGAAGGACAGATATTTGTTGCTAAAAGAACCACGAATTTTGAAAATTTTGTCCCACGGTGTATTCGATTTTTTACGTTACCACTTTGGAAAAAACAACGAAATCAAATGTAGAAAATGCAAACCACGAAGAAAAAGAAAGATTTGTTTTGAAAATTAAGTGACATATTGTGAAGTTATTCCCTGAAAAAAAGAAATGGTCATTGGTAGTGCAAGTTTTTTCTCAAAGGGAAGAGAGAAAATGTAAACAACGAAAAGGAGTGTGTCGGACGCCCGAGTTCGATGTGCACACATTAGTGGTTCCGTGGGCATAGTCCATCATGTTTTTCAGCGAAAATCGATTGCAGGGTATCTAAGGTCATATGACCGGTAATTTCAAGGAGAAGAAAAAACTCCCCTCTATCTGAACTCAAGATGGGGCAACAATGTTCCTGGACTACTGTAGACTATGTGAAGATGAAGAAGAGATAGAGACGATTGAACATCTAATTTGCACATGGCCCATTTTATCCTACAGGAGACATAGGCTATTTGGCAGGTGGGAAATGGAAACTCTAACGTTGTTCGCAGACATAGATTCACCCTAACTATAATTCTCTCTATAAATCTCTTCTTCTCCTTCTCGCTTCTATCTCCAATCTGCAAATTTCTTATTTCATCCAATGGTCTCCGAGTGAAGCAGTCGCCGAATTCGTGTGGCTGCGCATCCTTAAACTAAACCACGCCGTCTGCGAGATAAGGGTCTGGGTTGATCACAATGCTCATGATGGATTACTATTTTGGAGATAATGGCCCATACGTCCAAGGACAATGGCCCTGATGTATATTAACATCCAAGATTATGGTTCGAACGAATCATTTTCTGAAATATATAAGGGTACAAGCGAATTGTTATCTTTGGGATTATGATCCTCAAAGACAATGAGTCTAGAGTATAACCTTCTCATAAATAAAGCTTCTGGAGGATGAGTGAACCAAAGATAATAGCTCTGCGGATTATTTTCTTTGAACTAATGGGCCTGAGGGCTCATAATCTCTGAGACATTGGCTCTCAAGCATAATTTTCTCGGAGATAATGGCCCTATCTCAGATAAAATGAGTCTTCTATGAGAAAGCCTGTAGATCTACTTCTAGAAGGTCTATCGATCTTCTCATAGTGGATCTGTAGATCTTCTCGCAGTTGTAAGATCTGTACATCTCCTAGAAGGTTTGTCGACCTTGTCAAAGAAGATCTGTAGGTTTTTCCGAAGAAGATCGATCTACTCAATGAATATCTGTAGGTCTTCCCGAAGAAGATCTGTAGACATTTTCATAGGTCTGTCGATCTTCTCATAGAATATCTGTCGATCTTGTCACAGATATTCTCCTAGGAGGTCTGTCGATGCTGTCACAGATATTCTCCTATATTCTTCTCAATGAAGATCTCTGGGTCGTCTTCCCGAAGAAAATCTGGGTACTCATAGGTCTGTCGATCTTCTCATAGAATATCTGTAGATCTACTCACAGATATTCTCCTATGAGATATGTCGATCTTCTCATAGAAAGTCTGTCGATCTGTAGACCTTCCCACAGAGATCTGTAGATCTCAAAAATGTCTGTAGATCTACTCAAAGAAAGTCTGTCGATCTTCTCCCAGAAGGTGCGTCGATCTTCCCATAGAATATCTTCTGACTGATATTCTCATAGAAGATCTGTCCATCTTCTTATAAAAGATCTGTAAATCTTCGCATAGATCTGTATTTTTTTCTACAGCTCTCAAAAATGGATATACGAATATTCCCAATATAATAAATGTCTTCTAAAATATAGAAATAGAAAACTACAACAACAAAAAATGATTCAAGCAAGTCATCACAAAGAAACCACAGCACAAAAAAGAGAAGAAAAAAAAAACAGCCCAACCAAAAAAAAACAGACAGCAATGAAATCAAAGCTCAAACAAGTGACAAAATGACAGTAGAGGAGGAGCAAGACAAAAAAGAAGCTCAAAAATCGGCCAACAAAAAGTTAAGAAAAAAAAGAACTAAATAAATGGCTTGCTGGGACACAAGGGGTAGGAATCGGGGGGACTAGGCCAGCTAGTTGACTGTAATGAGCTCAATATTGGAAACTGAAAATACAATACTTTACCGCAAGTGTTCCTGCAGTACTACTACTCTAGATTTGGTTTTTGTTCGTTGTTCAATTCATTTTTTTTGTTATTTCAAGCAAAAATACAAAAAAAATGTTGTGAGCGAGCAGAAGAATAAGACGAAAAAAAAATAAAACAAATGTGGTAGAGATGACACAGAAATTGTTGAGTATAATGGTGGTGGTTCAATTGATCGATCGATCGATCGGTGATCGTTTACAATGGGGGCCAAGACAGCAGCAGCAACAGAAAAGAACACACATTTTTTATTTAATTTTATAGGCGTTGAATGGCAGTCGTGGCCGCCGCCATGGAGACATTAAAAGGTTGAATAGCGGTGTTGGAGGTTTGAAGATTACGAAATTTTGTTACAAATTGTAGGACGTTGTATGACAGGCAGGGCAGTAAGCAACAGTGGTATGACGAAGAGATACCCCAAGATGTTGGTGATGTGGTGGATGGTTGGTTGGTTGATGTATTCGACGGATGATGGTTGGATGATTGGTCGGCAGAATTGTGGATTTGAATTGATTTAATGTTACACAATATCATCAGCAAAAGAAGGCAAGCAAATACAAATTGGGGGAGTTCAGTTTGTGTGTGTTTGGCCATAATGATGATGAGCATGATTAGCATTTACAGATTGATGCCAATAGATGTCGTTGACAGTCATGTATGGGGTGGTGCGTATTTTGTGAGATATTGAAATACAAGATCAGTTAAAATCATAACGATCATGATGATGAGGATGATGATAATGACGAACAAAGATGATGGATGATGACGATTTGTTTGGTCGAAAAAAGATTAATGGCGTCAAATTTGTTTTTACACACACGCACGCACACACACCAAACATGATATTCGGGTTAAATAGCGATTATTTTAGACAAATATAGACAACATGAAATGTATGGGGGGAGGATGAGAAAAAAATGGAGAAAGAGAAAATAGTGAAATACAAAACCGGGTTAGATTCATTTTTTTTTCGTCACAAATATATATAAATGTTTGGAGAGTAGTGGGTGTTGCTGGGTTTGATTGGAATAAAAACAATTAAATTAACAATAACAACAACACTCAATAACAAACAAACAAGAGTAAATTAAGGAAAAAAAAATACACATTTCTTTGGTTCATATATACAACAATAAAAAAAATTATAACAAAAATAGAAATATATATGTGTATATATTAAATAAACAACAACCAAAATTAAAACGAGGAAAAAAGTAGGAAACATACAAAACATAAACAGCCAGAGGGCACAAGTGATTTAAATGCAGATTATAAATTCATTACCCTCCACCCTTCTATTTCCTTTGGAATCTCTCGAAATATTTATCTGAGACTCCGTAGAGAGATATTTTTTTGGTCAGCTTAAATATACAAGATTGAATTTTGGCAAAAAAAATGTATCTGGAAAGATTGTTATTACAAATGGACTCCCCCGATTTTCGATGATTTTAATTATGATCAAGTAACATTTTCAAACAAATTTAAATTTTTTAGGCAAAATTTTCAAACAAATCAGTCAGTATGTAAAATCTCCGAAAATGTCCAATATATCATAAAGATGGGGCTTTCTCGGGGCAGGCATTCTCGGATTTTAAGGCGTCCTCGGATTTTAAGGCCTCTTAGACGCATTTTCACTTCTGAATTGGTCATAATTTGACATTTCAGGTTCTTTGATGATATACAAAGCTTCCGCGGAAAATATCCGTAGACACATTTTCACTTCTAAATACCAATACTAATTTAAGATAATTTAACGTGTTAGGTTCTTAGATGATATAGAAAGCTCCTGAGGAAAACGTAAAGATTAGGCACATTAGTTGGTTAAGCCTCCATAACTCCTGATATTTTACATTTCGAAGATTAAAACTCCAATTTTTAAAAGAATTGGCCATAATTTGGCATTTTGTATTTTTATTAAATGAAGATTCGTCCTGCGAAAAGTGTTGAATATTGGGGTTCACATTTTGAATATCCCACATAGAGATAAAAACAATTTTTTTTTCCAAAAATGTATGATATTTTTTCATGGTACATATTGAATATACAATTTTTGTTGATTCAGAGAGTCATCATGAAATTTGATCTAGAATAATTCTTACTTTGACACTTTCCTCAAAAAAAGGAGTACAAGAGGAGATTTTGACCCGGATTGGATACGCACAATTAGGCACAATAAACTTGAAATCGGATGAATATATATATGGGAGCTATATCTAAATCTGAACCGATCTCTATAAAACTTAGCAGAGGTATTTCTATTCTGTACCTGATAATTGGCAACAAATATCGTTTTTGTGAAGAGTATTTTACGGATGTGAGGGAGTAAAATACAAAATTGGCTGAAACACATATTTATGTCCTATAGCTATATCTTAACCGATTTTCATCAAATTTGAGGAATTCGTTCGTAAAATCTTTTCAATTCGTGCTAATATTAACCATTTGGTGCACAATAAACTTGAGATCGTGTATGGGAGCTATATCCAAATCTGAACCAATCTCTATAAAATTTGACAAAAGTATTTCTGAGCTGTGTATATACGGAGTATATATTACGGCTGTGCGGGAGAAATTTAACAAATCGGATTTAGAATATATGTGGGAGCTATTGCTATGTCAGAACCGATTTCCTTCAAATTTGACATACTTTTTTCTAGGCTCAATTTCGTTATATGTGCCAAATTCCATCTTTTATTTCACATTTAGTGCACAATAAAAGGCAAATTGGGCGAAGATATATATGGGAGCTATATCTAAATTTTGACCGATTATCACCAATTTCGATAGGGGTCATCCTTGGACCAAACAAATGTTTTGTGCAAAGTTTCATCTTGATCGGGAAATAAATGCGACCTGTACTTTGTTTTGCAAAAATACATGGAGAGACGAACGGATGGACATGAATAAATCGACTCATAATGTAATTACAAGCAGATCATCAAAAGCAACTATGGATCTAACCCGCTTTCTTCTCTATGTTACAAACAAATGCACAAAGACGTAATACCCTGACCACAGTGTGGTGTAGGGTATAAATACAAGCACATAATTTTGACTTGTAATACATAAATTTCAAATGTCATTTTCTGGAAAACTATTGTAATTACAAATAGGATTTCTTTTGAGATTTATAGTGACATTTTGTGTACAAAAATTCCTTGCGAAGAACATTTCGTATTTTGCGTCAAATCGAAAAAAGTCCGAGGAAAATTTGATAAAAAAATAGGAAATGTTTTCATATTATCAAGGAAGGATCAAAAAGCCCCCTTGGATGATTCACTTGGGCGTTTAAAATTTCTGCGATATTAATTTATTCTTATTATAATTATTATTATTAATACTATTATTCTTATTACTATAATTATTTATTAATTTATTTACTTATTTTTATTACTAATTGATTTATAATTGGTTATTTATTTTTCATTTATTATTATGTTACTTATTTTTTATTATTTATTTATTTATTTTGAATTATTTATTTTACAAGTGTTTCATTCAATTTTTACATGCATAGCTTTCAAATCATTATTTAATTTAATTATTACTGTTTTTATTATTATAATTTAATTTTTTTATTTATTGTTATAATTTTTTATTATTATAATATTTGTTATTATTATTACCATTTGTTGTACATTGATTTATATATAAAAATATCTATCTGCAATCAAATCACTCTAAGCCCTTATAAAATGACCCAATTAACCAAAATTAAAAAACAGTCATAAATTAAAAAAGTAGATAAAATTAAATAACAAAATAATAAATTAAGAAAACAGAAAAAAAAAATTAAAACCAGGAAAATACTTACAATAATTAAAGCCGGATGTGGTCCCTTTTGGTGATTTAATTTGGTGGATTTTTTTAAAAGAGTTGAAGATTTTTTTGGTTTTTGTTGAAGAATTGTAGTTTCAATAGAGGTGGTTGATTGGTTGGTGGTGGTGATGTTGTTGTTGGTGATGATGGGTTGTTGTTGGTTGGTTGATTTCATTTTTGGTTGAACATAAAAACAAGAAGAACCCAAAACATAACACAAAAAACAATTTGTTGTGAAGGAGATGGGTGGGGAGAAATTTCAAATATTTATGCCCGGAACATGAATGGTTGTTTTTTTTTTCAAAAAATGTAGAGGTTGATTTGAGGTGCCATAAAAGGTGGTGAAATTATGCAGTGGTGGTGTTGGTGTGGTAGATCATAAAACGTATTTTCGTTCCCCAAAAACAAACATCAGCAGCGGCAAACGGCAGCAGGATCAATTTACATAAAGATATTTTATATATTTACAAAATATATAATTAAAAGAAATATAGCACAGCAACAACAACCATATTTTGGAAACGCAAAAATATACAGTTAACAACAATGGGGGATGTGTGTTTTGATTTGTGTTTGGGATTGTGTTTTGTTTTGCAGAAGTTTACATGAAAATAAAATAATAAAGAAAAATATTTTGAAAAATTAATTATATTGCATTTTTTTCAATGGTGAGATAGATATATAATATAGACCTAGATATTTGCTTTTATTTGAAATTTACAAGAAAATTGATTTTTTTTAAATTCATAAAAAATATTAACAATAATGAGAATAAAAATATACAGGATTACCCTACACCAATTTAAAATCACTTGAATACGCTCCAACAAAACAGAAGATATTTTACAGGTCTTCTATGCCCAAACGACCTTTAAGGGATTTTTCTATATACAAAGATTTTTTTGGAGGTAAATTGTGCCAAACGAATTTATGGTATATAGAGGTCATATAAAAGGTATTCTTTAAAGAGAAGACTTTTTAGGGGATTTAGATTTTCGAAATCTTCAAATAAGTAAGAGGTCTTCAATATACAGGGTGAGATGAGATGATGATTATATTTGGCTGGAAAACCACAAGTGGCTATCGTTAGAGCACTCCAGCATTCAAATGTGAATAAATCTTTTGTGTCTCGTACCATCGCTCGTTACCGTAATACTGGTAGTGTAGCCCGAAGTCAAGGAAGTGGACGGAAGAAAAGAGCAACATCAGCAGAAATGGTTCGACAAGTAAAGAAGCGATTTGATCGAAACCCGCGTCGCAGTGGCCGAAAAATGGCTCGTGAGCTGAACATATCCCAGTATTCCATTCAACAAATATTGAAACATGAGCTCGGAGTAAAGCCATTGAAATTCCAAAAAGTGCAAGAACTTACAAGGCAACAGAAAGAAACTAAACTCAAAAGAGCTAAAGAGTTGCTTCGCTTGGCCGAAAGTGGTGAACTGCCGTATTTGGTTTTCTCCGAGGAGAAAACATTCGTTGTCCAGCAGTTTGTAAACAAATAAAATGATCGCGTTTACTTGCCAAGAGGACTCAAAAGAGTTAAGGAGTTGCTTCTCTTGGCCGAAAGAGGTCAGCTGAAAATGTGTACCTTCGGTTGGCCACCAGAACTCAAGCGCCGGACATGGTGATGGTGTGGGCCGCCATAACAGCCAATGGTCGCTCTCCGCCCGTATTAATCTGGAGGGTGTATTAAAGCCCTGGGTACGCAAACATTTTGGCCGCAGATCTTGGACATTCCAACAGGACTCAGCGCCATCGCACTCAGCACGCGCCCAAGAAGGTTACAAAATGAGGTTCCTCGCTTCATTTCCAGCGTACAATGGCCACCAAAATCTCCGGATACCAATCCGTTGACCTATTATGTCTAGAGTATTTTGGAAAGCTAGGTTGGCACTAAAAAATACCAAAGTGTCGATCACCTCAATCAGGCACTTCGCCGGGAATGGGCCAAAATACCGCAAATACCACTATGCCGTTTTTTTATCTCACCCTGTAGAGAGGAGATCTTCCATATAGAGAAGACCTTTTAAGAGGTTTATATATATGTGGCAGATTTTTTTAATTCCTTCTTAAAAATGAGAGCATTTTCTAAACATTCATATAAGAAGATCATTTGGAGATTTCTCCTATAAACAGAAGAGCCTTTCTGGTGGTCTTCAAAAAACAAATTGGTGTAGAGATATATTTAATACAATCATAGAATTTAAGTGCTTCGATTATTTTCTATATATGTATATAAAAAAGTACAAAATTCACAAACAAAGAAAATCTCTTAAAATAGCAACATTATTCAATGGCCACTTTCTAATGAAATTAACAAAATTAATGTTTATTTTATTTACTTGCAAGAAAGAAGATTGTAGGTTTTTTGTTTTGTTTTGGTCTCTTTGATAAGATTAGTCAATTTTCTCGAAAGCTTGCCGATGAAGACAAGGTTCATTCGCTTTTGGGAAATTTATCAGTTGTCTTATCGATTCCCTTCCATTTCTCATGACACACATATAATAATAACTAATTGATTGTAACTCTCTTTTGTTTTCCCCTTTGTTACTATCCCTCTCCTCCGCCCAGTATTTATTGACCGTCATTAAAATAGTGTTAATTGATCTATGTATCATTATTTGGACTGATAATTTATTGGGGAGAACGACAAACACGTCCGATTGAATTGTTTACCTTTAAATTTTGTAATGTTTATTTTTATACATTGATGGCGGATAATAAAAAAAATCCCTCACACGTACTTCTTTATGGTGATTTATTAAAAAAAAAAACAAGGAGTCACTTGGTCAAAAACATAAATAAAAAAATAAAATGCATTGCGGATATTTTCAAGTTACGACAGCAAGACAATGTCCATTTTTTTGCACAATAAACAAAAGAAAAATGTAAATAAATTTTTGTCAAACACACAAATCATTTTGAAGGCATTAAAGTTAAAAAAAAGTAGGTTGTGGACATGAATAAAAAATTAACAAGCATTTAAAAAAAAAACTATTTTAAGTTATCTTGACTCAAAACTTTTTTAAAAATAGAGTTTTTTTTATTGCTTTTTAAATAAAAGAAAGAAGATCCTTTAAATTTTCAAACTTTACAAATGGAGAATTTCAATTTAATCATAAAAATCTTTCACATTTCATCTACAGGGTGAGATAAAAAACTGCAACAAAGTCAAACACCATAATTTGTACATTTTTTTTTAATTTTATTGAATGAAAGCAAAAAATGTCGGAAATAGCATCACATTTTAGAATTAGTTTAGATTTATTCGAATTGGTCACCTTTGGCACGAATTACGGCCTTTAAACGTCACACGCTGCCCGAATGTTGCTCTGCGGTACTTTGACCCATTCCCGGCGAAGCGCTTGCTTGAGGTGATCGACACTTTGGTATTTTTTAGCGCCAATCTTGTTTTCCAAAACACTCCAGACCCAATAGGCCAACGGATTGGTATCCGGAGATTTTGGTGACCATTGTGCGCTGGAAATGAAGCGAGGAACCTAATTTTGTAACCATTCTTGGGTGGCGCGTGCTGAGTACGATGGTACTGAGTCCTGTTGAAAAAGCCAAGGTTTGCGGACAAAATGTTTGCGTGCCCAATGCTTTAATGCACCCTCCAGAATATTTTCGCGACAATATTCGGCATTTATTCTGATGCCACGGCTGATTAATACGAGCGGAGAGCGACCATCGGCTGTTATGGGCCACCATCACCATGGCCGGCGCTTGAGATCTGGTGGCCAACCGAAGTTGCACATTTTCAGCTGACCTCTTTGGCAAGTAAACACGATCATTTTGTTTGTTTACAAACTGCTGGATAACGAATGTTTTCTCATTGGAGAAAACCAAATTTGGCAGTTTACCACTTTCGGCCAAGCGAAGCAACTCTTTAGCTCTTTTGAGTCTATTTTCTTTCTGTTGCGGTGTAAGTTCTTGCACTTTTTGGAATTTCAATGGCTTTACCCCGAGCTCATTTGTCAATATTTGCCGAATGGAATATTGCGATATGTTCAGCTCACGAGCCATTTTTGGGCCACTGCGACGCGGGTTCGGATCAAGTCGCTTCTTTACTTTTCAAAGCATTTCTGCTGATGTTGTCATTTTCTTTCGTCCACCTTCTTGACGTCGGGCTACGTTACCAGCATCACGATAACGATCGATGGTACGAGAAACAAAAGATTTATTCACATTTAAATGTTGGAGTGCTCTAACAATAGCCACTTGTTATTTTCCATCCAAATATAAAGAAATCACACTATCACGCTTGAATTCCATCACGAATAATTTTTTTTCTGGAAAATTCTCACCAAAATGCTTTTGTATTCTTGTAAACAATATAATGATCTGTCACTGGAATAATTTTAACAGCTGTCGGACGAGTGGCTTAGAAATGACAGCAGTCTGAAGTTGGTTGCAGTTTTTTCATCACACCCTATATATATATATAGAATAGTAATGAATAATGAACTTCCAGACGAAACAGCTGAAGCTAAAATCTTGAAATGTTCCTGTATCTGTACGGAATGTACTAAATGGTACCAAAACTGGTCTTGGTTGAAGGAATAGGAATAAAATTCTGCAATTTTATTGTGGTTAAGAAATGCGCCATGTGGGTCTACGACGAATATTTATTGGTGTTACAAGGGAATGACAAATTTAATTTCCAAGGTGAAGGATATAGAAAATATACTTTAAAATGTGAAGTTAATGCTTTGAGACCTACCCCTTTTTAAATGTATTATATCATTTTTTTTGTTTTTTTAATTGAATATTTGAAAATACTTTTAAATGTTGAATGTTTTTGGAAAGACTTTCCAAAGGAAGTGATAATTGATTTATAATATCTAAAAACCTAGTCATCTTCCCTTGGACTCTCAAAAATGACGGAAATCACTATTCATGCACTTGAAAGTGATGCTTGACTCTTTTCAATGTTGCACTTCACCCTTTTGTCTAACGCACACACAAAAACCATTCATTGATGTTTCAGTTGTACTCTTTTAAAGAGCAGGCCGCCTG